TAATAGAGAGGTTGAGGCGCACGTTTTAAACGTGTAAACGTGTACGTGTGACGTTCGGCGCCGCTTTCCCGTAAGCCTAAAAGTTTGACAATGGTGTTTGGATAGTCGGTGGAATCACGCTCGACATTCCAAACACCATCGTCAAACTTTTAGGCTTACGGGAAAGCGGCGCCGAACGTCACACGTACACGTTTACACGTTTTAAACGTGCGCCTCAACCTCTCTAATATCTAAAAAATTCAATACCTAAATGTTATAAACTTATTTAAAATACATAAATTCCCAACAATAAAGTAATTTTAAACTTACAATTTCTGGATTTTTAAATACATTCATAAATCCAATATTTTTAATAATATTACAAATGCAACCACACTCCTGTTTTTAAAAACAATATAAATAAACAATTAAATTACAAAAGTTGATTCGTTTTATGAAACCGTGTTTTCGTATTTATTTACTATTGAACACAAGACTGTGTTATTATTAAAACACTTGGCGTTTATCTACTTTATTCGACTGAATAAAGTGGATAAACGTCAAGTGTTTTAATAATAACACAGTCTTGTGTTCAATAGTAAATAAATTACAAAAGATTGGTTTAAACATATACCAATAGACTTACCAATAGACCTGATTTCTCGTTTTATACTTTACCTCCATCCCCCTATCGATGATTCAGTTCCATGATTGTGTATTTCTCTCCCTGTGTTGTTATTTATTCTGTCTTTTTGTGTAGCTATATGGATGTGTTCGTACAATTGTTTTTTGTAATTATTTTTCTTTTTTTTTCTTTACTTTTACACTGTTTATATTTATTTCGCATCCTGTTGAATTACAATGTTTCGCTGCCGCATAATTTGCATAATTGTCTTTTATTGAACGAATATGATTTTTAATCTTATTTATAGTTTTCTTTTTGTTTAACTCATGTATGTTTATTTTTCTGATTACAACTACAATTGTGAGAAGACAGGACACCGTTACTTTCCGTCTAGCTACACGTTTACCCTGTCGGATCGTTAAGGTCCTTTAACACCATAAGATTTTTATGTTTTTGGACTCAGAGGGCATTGAAACGTAGTGAAGTGAAAAAATAATTCGGATTTTTTTATGTGTATAGATGTGAGTGTGTGTGTAATAGGACGGGTTTTTGTTCACAGAAATTGAAACTTAGTAACTTTAGGTCGAAAGTTTCTAAAATTATGCAGGAAGCTTAGTGTATTATAAGAATTAATGCTGTTAAATTTTGATAATTAAATTAAAAGCTTAGTGACTGGGAAGATAAACGGTCGTATGCCATATTTGCAGTAGAGCAGGAATTAATGATGTTTGATTCCTCATTATTAGCATTTACAATATTTCTTTTATAAATCCTATCCCTAGCATCAAAATTAAGCATTTCGCCATTATATAATAGTTAAAACTATAAAAAAGTTTTTAATATAAGTATCATGATGGCGCCATCAAACCTAGCAGGGAAAGTTAAGCAACTCGTTGCTGACTTGTTTTTCTGTAATTTGTGTTCAAATACCGAATTGTTTGAGTTGAAAGCAGTTTGAGTACCGAAATACCGCCGTATTTCGTTCGCCATTTTTACAAATGATTAAGTATAACACCTACTTAAATATATTTAAATAAACATTATTAAATACGAAGATTATACTACAAAAAAAGGACAAAGAATCCTAAAGGCTAAAGTTTCAAAGCAATGACAAAAACTTATGTTAAACCGAAACCGGAAACCATGTTGTAGAAGTGCAGTATTGCCCGACAAATAACTGCACTTCAATAGATATTATTAAAGGTTTCATTTGTCTTCGTTTAATTGAATTTATAAATCTGCTCACAGTTTTCTTTCTTATTTGAAACGATTTTCAGTTTTAAGAAACCGGAGAAAATATAAAGCAAAATCATTGTCAAATCTGTTTAAGAGAATATTAAAAAAAAGTAATGCAACCTTGAAAACAATTCTCTTATCTACAACTAAAAATCCGCCTATTGAAACAGACAGGGAGACTTTTCCAAATCTTTTCATAAAATCTAAAAGCTGAAAATACGAATATAAAATATAAAATAATTATTTATTAAATGAATATACAGTACGAAACACATACCTTTAGCTTTCTTTTCAGTCCAATATCACATCCTGCGAATATTCTGACGTCTTGAAACGTATTTTCCATCTGCAACAGAAAATACAGTATAAGAATAAAATGAAAAACATGTCAATGGTGTATGTAGAATATAACTACCATAAATGCGAGCGAGCACAGCAGACATCCAGCTATTAGGCAAATACACGTGAATGTTATCATAAGTAAAAATATTAAATATTTAACGTAATAATGAAATTCCAAAAATAAAAATGCGTAGCAAAAAAAACTTGTACCCCAAAGGACAACAAAATAGATAATTACACATACTAAATTGTACTTGGTATTGAATTGTTGTATGAAAAGCCAAAGCTCTTCGTGATGCAACATTAATTCGTTTAGCTTATTCTGTAAATCTGAACCGATTCTTTTAATTAAAATCAGTTCTTGAGATAATTGTTCGAACTCTTGATGATCGATGATGCATATCAAAGCCAATATTAAAAAAGTAAAACCGAGTCCCCCTATAAGATAACTTATACCTATGCAACTTTGGATACTACAGAACACAGCTTCCCCACGAAATTTCTGTTTTTTCTCTATGTAAGGATAAATAACAAAAATTACAAGAATAACAGAAACAATTACTACTGTTATAATTATAGATGCAAGCAGTACAATTCTTTTCAATAAGTTGTAATTATTCTTCATTTTGCTACGAAAATTCTCGTTCTTTAACGCCCGTATCAATACCACTTTGGTTCTTCTCATGTATCCGAAAACAATACAATAACTGATAAATAGAGAAGAATATAACAATTTGAACAATGTGGAATGAGTTTTCAGTATATCAAATTCTCCGATGCAAATTGAATATTCGTCTAAACCCGGTATTGTTTCCAAAATAAGAAGAATTGTTCGTTGCCATAAACAAAATTCGATTATTCGAACGTATATATTCTTGAATTTTGAATTTTTACATACTCTAATTTTGTTATGGCAATTGCAAGATTCAAACGGATCTATCCCAAATATGAGGGCAATCGTCCAACAAGGACTGAGGAAACAGTTCATACACGTTCCTTCTTGTAAATTTGGGTTCATATTTATTTGTATCTTCGCTTCACGAAGCAAAATGATGCTCTGAATAAAAGTGCTTGTTATATAAAGTCATAATCTCTAAAAATGCCACGATATGAATTAATAATGATGGGTGACAGGTATTATTAATTTCCTGCCATATTTTCACTAGATATAATTGAAAATTAATTAGCTCAGTGCAGGTTTTATTTATTGGTCAATAGATTAAACATCGATGCTGAAGTATGATGTTATAATGCTTTAAACGTGGCATTTTATTTCTGGAAGATGCAGTGTATTATTTACAATAATAAAACAAAAATTCGGAAACGAGTTGCTTAACTTTATCCAGCAACTGTTAAAACGGCGTATATGACGCTATCTGTTATGACATTTTATCATTAGACACTTTTTGTAATTTTTATAAAATGGCAAAAATTTTTATTTTCAGGATACAGATGTGTTTCATATAAAATTGTAGTTGCTAATAACAAGTAAAATCGTCATCAACACCATTATCTACCCATACTTTCGACCTTTAATCAATAACATTTAAGAATTCGCAAACAAACTTCGAATTTTTTGCATTTCTCGATGTTTTGACTCCAAAAATGGATATTCTTCGAGTGTCGTTTTTTGCACGATTGCCATACTTTCCCTCTGTTATATATAACAGAGCAGGAACGTCAAAATAAATACATAAATTGAAGTGAAACCTTTAATAAGTGATTCAGGAACAACTGAGAATATAATTAATGCAATATCAATGCTTAATGAATATGCATTATCGTGTTTACATTATTGCTAATGTAAACATTGCGAGATTAGTCAGGTAAATTGGTTTACTATATGCGTGTAGTAAACCACTTTCAACTTCCTTTTTAATTTACATAAGAAAACTCTATTCTTTTTTCAGTTTTTCTCGTCTTTATACTAGATGATTATCACAAAATAAGAGAATACAGTAGAGCGTCGATTTTCCGAAAGTCAATCATCCGAATGAATTCCAGTCGGCAAATTTAAATTTTCGCCAGTGCTGTGGCGCTTCAATCTTTGGCTATGTCTTGGGCTACTCAAATATTTTACGTTTTTGATACTAAATTAACTTCTCAAGTATAATTTTTTATTATTTTTATATTTTTAAATATATTTATTTTGTTTGTACAAAATAAAAAAATAATTTTTAACGATACAATAGTCTTTGTTAGGCTTAACATCGACGAAAATTCAACGCGAAGCGACACGCAACGGATAAAAATTTTTTCGTACGTAAATCAGTTATCCGAAATATCAGTTATCCGGACAACCCCAGTCCCCAATTGATTCGGAAAATCGACGCTCTACTGTATTAGATTTTTATCATTTTTAAAATTAATAAGTTATATATTCAACTGTCCGAGGAAATTCGTTTGTTCTGAAACACAGAAGCGTGAATATCATGAGGTTCAGTCATAGATCCAAACTTTTAACTTTAAATTGCCTAGACCCACAGAAATAACGGGTTCTTTTTTGTATATATGAATGTTCGTGTATGGAACAGAGCAAGGTTTTGTTCACCATCTTTGAAACTACCGTGCTTTTTATCAAAAATTTCTGAAATTTTGCAGGGAAGTTTCTGTATCACGGGGATTTATGCTTTTAAGTTTTGGTGGTTGTTGAAGGTCGAAGAGGTGGGCAGCTAGAGGGGATCGTGTGTTGTATGTCGAGTACGGTCGGATGTAGTGACGATTGGTTGTTATTAGCATTTACAATTTTTTTGTATGACTAATCTCCACAACCAATATAAAGCTTTTCGCTATCTCATAATTAATAAGAATATATAAAGGTTTTTCATATTTGAATTATTAAAATACTTGCATAAAAAATAATAATTTTTTTTCTGAAGATTTAATTAAATCTTCTAGCCAGTTTTTTACTGTTACTTCTGAGTTGCACTGTAAAAAGAATTAAAGAATAAACTCAAAAAATTATTATTTTTTCATGTAAGTCTTTTAATGCTTCAAATGAAGTTAAATCTCTGCTATGCTGTTTATGCGAATAGATACACTGGTTAGGTTTTTTATGATAAAGTAACTGGCGCTACACACGCTGTTTTTAATGTTGCCGGGAAAGTTAATCAACTCGTTTCTGGATTATTTGAATTATTTTTACATTAGAAATTTATATATATCTTACTTAATTCATATTAAATTAAAACAATACGAATATTGTCTAAATTGATGAATAGAAGTACTATTTTCATAATACTCGTTTCTTTCTTTTGCAGAATGGATAATTTTAAAAAATTGAGGAAATGACTCATCTTAGAAGTCGAAATTGATGTTTGAATATAGTCAGCAAGTCTAAGAAGCCTCGAGGAAAAGGGTTTACTTCTAAAAAAAAATAAATATTTTTTCTGCAGGGGTTATCTTCGTCTTTCATCTTTATCTTCACCATCCCAAGACTCATTTTTTCATTTCGATTAAATGAAAGTTTATAGAACAACCATTGTGTGATGTCTACCGTCGACAAAGTGACAACAAAAAACACAAGACAGTGTTTTTCGAGTTTAAAATTATTGTATTTGATTTTATATAACTAAAAAGATTATCCTAGTAAGGGTTTATCACATTCAATATCTAATCTAACACATTTATAAAATTTTATAGTTTGTACGCAATTTAAAAAATTTTTTAAATGTTTTCGATTGGGCAAACTCTGTGTGATAAACTCTTACGCACGATAACCTTTGTAAATATAAATCAAATGCTATAATATAGTAGAATGGTTAGAAATAGGAAATTCGAGTGCAAAGATAAATTTCTGTCTTGCTTAAATACTTTATTGCTTATAAAGTATACAAGAATTAAAACTAAATTGTTTGCAAAACAAATGGTAAACCGACTTTTGAGCCACGCTTTTTATAAAGCGAAATTTTAATACATAAACATTTTGATTTTAAAGACTTTTTTAAAATTTAAATATACTTTATACGAAATCATTAAACTTTTATCAATATACATAGTAAATAAATGATTTAAAGAAATCACAGCATAAAATAATGTTTGATAATCATAAAATATGAAATATAAACAAAGATAAATATATATTTTGGAAAACTGCAGAGTAGTATTTATATAAATTAGTTTTACTTATAATTACTACAGTTATATAAAGTATTTATACGATATATATCACTTTTGCTCAACCCTGGTTTCCTGCTGACGTCAATGAGTCTCATGCCCTGTCTTGATGCTACCATAGTTTTGCTGCGCCCGTCCTTTGAAAAAAATCTTTCTCCATAGAGCATAACAGAATTATAATCAAATCCATTAAATATTTTCATTTCATTTGGCGTAAACTTAACGAACTGAGATTCCATATCTACAAGTAGATTATAATAATGTATTAAACACAAATTTTAATTCATATATTTTGCAAATAATTGCTGAAATTGAGATTCTCTTACCTGGTTCTATATTCTCCCAAAATACTTTTATGTATTCATCTCTGTCAGGTCGATTCTGCTCGTGGTAGAAGCCAACAGCATGATTCAACTCATGAACTATGGTTCCAAGATTCCAGCAACCTTTTGCCAGTGATAACATTTGTTTTCCTTTATTTCGACCCACTGTCGAATAACAGCTAAAAGTATATAAATTAATTATAATAAGTTTGTTTATATTTTGTTGAGATTTTTGCTAAACTTACCCAGGATCTTTGAAAATTTTTACGTAATTTTCTTCGTTGGTTCTTTCTACAAATCGAACACAAGTATACAGTTCGAAATTCATCATGGCTACTTTTAATAATCGTTTAAGTCTTCTGTGAAGTACTAAAAATTTTAAAATGAGACATTAAAAGATATATATTTCAAAGATTTTAAAACAATTGGTAACGAATTTTTACACAATCCTCTTTCAATTTCGTATGGTATGAATCCTCCTGGCCACAATTCATAATTATTTATAACTGCACCCCTCGTCTGAAAATGTTTAATTACAACGAGTAATTTGGAGTAACAAAGATTATTTTACATTTACACCACAACTATTTAATTTACATTATTCTATCGATTTCTATTATTACTTACATGATCGAAATCACCAATGATATCGCCACCAAAAAGATCGGGATTTTGCATAAGTAGATCTGCGTCTTCTGAATTTACTTATAATTTTGCAAATTAATTAATGTATTGTGTAAAATACTAACAATGATTATGGGTTGAATAACCTTACCTTCATAATGTTCCTGATTTGGAATGTTAGAAAAAGCCAAGAGGAAGATCGCTAAACAAATCATTTTTAAATATTACAGCTCGAAATGGACGTAATGAGCTGTATTATAAATAAAATACTATGTACACTGATGCAGTTTTGTTTACAAAAATAAAATATTTGTTTATATCAAATAAGTGCAGAATAAGCATTTAGATGTTTTTCCAGCTGTCATGTGAAAGAGAAAAAAAGTACACCGATCGGTCAAAAAATTATCTCCTAAATTTTCATATTTTTGGATTCACAAGGCCTTGAAATGTCGAGAAATAAAAGAAAAAAATATTTTCTGTATGTGGGGATGTTAGTGTGTGTTGATGTGTATGTGTGGAAGACACGAATGTGTTACCAAGTTTAAAAAACTTTTGTGTATTAATACTATTAAATTTAAGTGGATAAAAGTCAAGAGTTTGGAGAGATAGAAAGAGATAATGTGTATTATTTGGCGTGATCTTTCGGTTTACTTTTACGAATACAGATTACAGATCAAGATAACACGAAAAGATATACAGGAAATCGTTGTTGGTTCGAAATTGAAGAGACGAAATAATCGCGACTTCGTATTATCGAGTTTCGAATTATTTGAAATTAACATATTTCTATACAATATACCAAATACCACGTAACCGATTAAGAAAACGGAATACGACTTCGTATACAGAAGTCTATATTCGTTAATTAATAATTAATATATTAATTTAAATAAACTGCAGGTAAACAGCACATATCCAGTGAGAATCTTATAGATTTTATAAAAAGTAAATGTAGCCAAAATTATATTTAAATTGACCCAAATTGTAGTATGTCGTCCAAGATGTAGGAGACTAGAGTCTTGCAAATATCTCAATCTCCAATCTTGCAATCCCAAAACCAGCCGTATTTTATAAGATAAGAGAAAAAGAGACTCCATGGGTAAGGATACATCCAGAAAACGTATTACAGGTACTGTAAAAGCAATGCCGTATTGAGCAGATTAGAGTTGTTTTTCATAAAAGAGCTTTTTGACTCGAAAATTGTTAAAACTAATAATTTAAATACAATAGTATAGATAGTACAGACTTAACACACTGCTACTGGTAACATTAAAATGACACTTCTATCATCAGAATGCAACTTTATTACTGGTATGCATTTCGGTACACAAGACTCTAATCAGCCATACGTAAAAATATATAGGTATGTGGAATATTAACAAATTCGTTATAGAGACAAATTCGCAGAGAAACTAACAACAATTACAATTGACAATTTAGAACATACCTATTTAACAATTATTTTTCCCCACACTGCTATGATAATTAAAATATAAACAGGGTAAGTGGCACTATCATAACCATGAGTAAGAATACAGGTAATACTACTATTTATTTAAGAATGTTGGCGAAGAACGTATGTGAATAATAAATAATTATAATTTAGTATTTAGTATTTGTTAAAAAGTTAAACAATTGAAGAGAAAATCAACTTTGAACAGGGAAGTTCATAAGATTTTATCTGTGATAGCGTCTGATAACGAAGAAAGAAAGAAAGATATCTATTTTGTTGACAATTATTACTACTTGTACTATTCGTTGCAAGCGTTCTGTGAATTGCATAGATCCATGTTTTGAGACATCATCAATCGAGAACAGTGAAAGTCCGGAAAAAGTTTCGTGTGTGTATGGGTGAGTACATGTGTGTGCGTGTATTTGTCATCTATTTCATTTAATGTCTCAGTTGAGGTAAAGATTAAGAAATAAAAGTTAGCATGGTGACTTCTGAATAAGTGACATTAAGGCTGTTAAATTTCCGTGGTTAAAGATCGAGGACATGGTGAGATACAAAAGTGTTATATCGTGTATCAAATCTCATAAGAAGTTGAACTTAACAAAAATTTTACTTGTTATTATACATTTACAATTTTTCTAACACTCACCACTACCTTGAAAATTACCATCTTTTGCTAATTTATTAAAATAAATAATAAAATTTTTTTTAAAATGTTTTCGAAATAAATAAAATTGTGTATGCCATAGTTTGTTATTATTAATTTAATAATTCACAAGCTGTTCGGAAATCAACCTCCTATTGGCTGGTTTTCGAAGAGCTTATGTATTTTGCAAACATGGTTGACTGCAGGACGTGCAGAAATAAGCTGTCGCCTGTTGTTTAGTGTTTAATGCGTGATCTACATGAAGCAGAAAATATTAGCTAGTGTATTCGAAGTTCCTGCCGAATATCTGGCTCAAGTTGTAATTCACTACTTGCAAGTTATAGGACACAATGACACCGAAATCTATAGGAGGATGAGTGCCATGTACGGAAGAATTCATAGGTAAAAGTTATCTGAGAGAATTATCGAGAGAGGTGAAGACATGTAAATGATAAATGTAAACAAGAAACACAGTCTGTTGTGACTGATGATCTTGTGTCAACTGTACAAAGTGATTTGTGAGCGTTGCTTCTTCACAACTTTGAAAATATCTTGTAATTTTCCCACAATTGGGTGAATATTACGCTATGAGATTGTGACTACAACTGTAGGTTATCACAAGTTTTCTGCCATGAGCGTTTCCAAATATTTCACAGAAAATCGCAGAATGAAGCAAATGGGGTTCATGTAACGGTGAAACGCAGGTGGAAGTGCCTTTCTGGACAACATCATCATAACAGGTGACAAAACATGGGTTCACTTTGAGAGCACGCAAACAAAGGAGCAATCAAAGCAGTAAATGCATACGACATTGCCAAACAAACCGAAGAAGCTTAAACCAACATTGTTAAACAATAAGCTACAGTCTAAATATCACTTATGGTAGCTGTTATTTCGTTATGAATGTGTCTCTTTAATCCGATCAATTCAGTTCGGTAGACTATCGATACAGCTTTCAGGTTAGATACTTCTTTTATTGTTTTGACATATGCATTTCGGTTCAATACTACAAATTCAGTTAAATACTACAAATTGTTAAAAAACACAATTAGTAACATGACAAATTCTTCGCCTGTAGTATTGAAGAACTGTAGAACTGACATAAAACTATTGTATTTAAAAATTGTTACACTTAAAATAGTTTATGTCATGTTCCAATATTTCTATTTACTTCGTAAGAATAACCAACCTGTTTCCTCTATCCATTTGTATCCAATATTCTTCTAAATATCACTTATGGAAGCTGTTATTTCTTTATGAATGTGTCTCTTTAATCCGATCAATTCAGTTCGGTAGACTTCGGTAGAGTATCTAACCTGAAAGCTGTATCGATAGTCTACCTAATTGAATTGATCGGATTAAAGAGACACATTCATAATAAAATAATAATAAAGCTACAGTCTTTTGGCTACAGTCTTTTGGGACCGTAAGAGAGTGTTGCTATTAGTTTATGAAGCGAATTACAACAATGAATACAGATGTATATCGCAAACCCCTGAAAATGCTTTGACAAGAAACTCAGAAACAACGTGGAGACGTGTTGACCGCCGACATTGTTTTGGTCCACAAAAATTCGTTCAAGATGTTGATTTAGACAATTTAATCAATCACTTTTAATTATTTTATTTTCATCACCATTGCCAAACGCGTTATGCCAGTTGTGTAAGAACTTCTTATAATGCAAGTGCTACCAGCCAACAGATTACTATCAAATGTGAGATCTGATATAGCGAAAGCTGGTTATAACTGTCATCAATTGTCGTCGTGATATAACGAAATCAAGCAACAACTATTCATGTGGGTTATGTGGGTTGCTAAAAAAACTCCTATAATTTGGTAAAACGTCATCACCGACTCGTGTAGCGACAGTATTAGTCGAATCTAGACCAATAGCGGATATTGTACAAACCGTTGAGTTTAAACGAGCAGCGGACCTACTAAAAACCATTTATTATTTAACGTCCATAAAATTATATTTATATTAAGGAAACACTCCTTAACCTTCTAAGGAAGAGTGCCAGAATAGGTATTACTATAGGAGAAAAAAATTATTTTTTCTATTATCCATCTACGTCTGATCCTGACTATGCTGTTAAAAGTAAACCTCGGGTTAAAATACATGAAAATCATGTTGAAATTCTGCACTGTATACTGTAATGTAATGTAAAATGTAATGCAGTAAATGAAGATATAGAATTCTAATTCTACCTCTTCATATTGCCTAGAGTCAGATAACACTTTGTATTCTAAGGTTCATGGGAACACTATAAATATTGTCGAATATTGAAAGTGGAGAAGTGGCAATCGAGTTTATAAATCAAGAGCTAATCATCCAAAGAGTAATTATTGATAGATAAACTCGAATTGGAGATAGTAAGTTTGAACCAAAAGATGGTAGTCAAGATCTTGATTCCATCAACGACACTCCAGTAAAGAAAATGCCTCAAATTCCATTTATCCTACTTTTATGGCAAAAATAAAGGAGAGACTGGTTAGAAGATGAAATGCTTTTGTATAACTGGGTGCGGTTAATTCATCTTGTTGTTCCTTCATATGTTTCATCTGAATTCTGTAAACAAATACTTATCTTAGAAAATCATATAAAGAATAGGAAATTATATTTAGTTTTGAAAATTGAGAATTTAACTGTGTGTCCTCATAATATTTTTAGTTTGAGAGTCAAAAATATGACGAAATTTAAGTAATATCGAAGAGTATCCAAGCATGTCATATGAAACAACAAATGAAAAATCTACTGTGAGATCATCAACAGAAAAAATATATTTCTGTTGGTGATCTTGATCTAGATATCCGAATATATTTTCGGGAACAACGAGATCAAGTTCCATCTTAAAATATGCTGCTCTAAGTTCCACTTCCTGCGGATGCTTGCTCTGCTGGTGTTACAAAGTAACTTTGACGAGTCACATGGCCTGATACACTGTATTAAAATACAGTATTTGGCATGGAAAAAAAAATGTTATTCAGAAGTTCGCGTAAGAAACATCCCAAATAGCTACAAAACTCATTAAGTTACCAATAAATTAAAAGCGGGTTTATTTTATAACAAAAATAGTAATGTCAATCTCATTTCTAATACCTGTTTGCGTGATGAATCAATACATAAATTAACAAATATACAATGCTTATTATATTGATTGATGTTATAATTCGTAACAGATAAAACATGTTGAATTAGAATTACTTGAAAAATTAGGAGAAAGCGTAATCTTGAACATTCAAATAGAAATCGAATCAATAGAGCAACTTATGGACATTATAAAGAGAAACGACGCAAAGTATTAATGGATAAGAGAATCGTGAGAAAATAATACGATATTTTACGCAATTTAAAACTTATAAAACTCAAATTNTTAAGGAAACACTCCTTAACCTTCTAAGGAAGAGTGCCAGAATAGGTATTACTATAGGAGAAAAAAATTATTTTTTCTATTATCCATCTACGTCTGATCCTGACTATGCTGTTAAAAGTAAACCTCGGGTTAAAATACATGAAAATCATGTTGAAATTCTGCACTGTATACTGTAATGTAATGTAAAATGTAATGCAGTAAATGAAGAGATAGAATTCTAATTCTACCTCTTCATATTGCCTAGAGTCAGATAACACTTTGTATTCTAAGGTTCATGGGAACACTATAAATATTGTCGAATATTGAAAGTGGAGAAGTGGCAATCGAGTTTATAAATCAAGAGCTAATCATCCAAAGAGTAATTATTGATAGATAAACTCGAATTGGAGATAGTAAGTTTGAACCAAAAGATGGTAGTCAAGATCTTGATTCCATCAACGACACTCCAGTAAAGAAAATGCCTCAAATTCCATTTATCCTACTTTTATGGCAAAAATAAAGGAGAGACTGGTTAGAAGATGAAATGCTTTTGTATAACTGGGTGCGGTTAATTCATCTTGTTGTTCCTTCATATGTTTCATCTGAATTCTGTAAACAAATACTATTATATAAAATATAGAAAATTATATAAAGATAAAGAATAGGAAAGTATATTTAGTTTGAAAATTGAGAATTTAACTGTGTGTCCTCATAATATTTTTAGTTTGAGAGTCAAAAATATGACGAAATTTAAGTGATATCGAAGAGTATCCAAGCATGTCATATGAAACAACAAATGAAAAATCTACTGTGAGATCATCAACAGAATAAATATATTTCTGTTGGTGATCTTGATCTAGATATCCGAATATATTTTCGGGAACAACGAGATCAAGTTCCATCTTAAAATATGCTGCTCTAAGTTCCACTTCCTGCGGATGCTTGCTCTGCTGGTGTTACAAAGTAACTTTGACGAGTCACATGGCCTGATACACTGTATTAAAATACAGTATTTGGCATGGAAAAAAAAATGTTATTCAGAAGTTCGCGTAAGAAACATCCCAAATAGCTACAAAACTCATTAAGTTACCAATAAATTAAAAGCGGGTTTATTTTATAACAAAAATAGTAATGTCAATCTCATTTCTAATACCTGTTTGCGTGATGAATCAATACATAAATTAACAAATATACAATGCTTATTATATTGATTGATGTTATAATTCGTAACAGATAAAACATGTTGAATTAGAATTACTTGAAAAATTAGGAGAAAGCGTAATCTTGAACATTCAAATAGAAATCGAATCAATAGAGCAACTTATGGACATTATAAAGAGAAACGACGCAAAGTATTAATGGATAAGAGAATCGTGAGAAAATAATACGATATTTTACGCAATTTAAAACTTATAAAACTCAAATTAAACAAAAATTACAGCAGTTAGTAGATTATATTAAAAAAATAAATGTTTTTGTATTGTTTAATGCTAAAAGTTTGAAATATTTTAGTGTTTAATTGAAAAAGTTGGACCCCTCGATGTGAGTTTCTGTCCGTGATAAGGGGACCTTCCAGAAATGATTTACTATCTCTGGTGTCTGAACGCTTATCCAAGTGTTTGCCTTGCGTGGACATCTATCTGACGAAAAGGGATAAGAAGGGGTGTCTTCTGAGAGAACTCTGAATGAAAAAACTGGCCCCTTTTTATATGTTATACACTTGAAGACGACCTGAAAAACTCCACGAGACTAATCTGTTAGCCTGGTACTAACTGTTTTTAGTTTTATTACCCACTCGGCACTAGTGAGATCTGCATTGAAATAAATCGGATAAAACGCAATCATACGAACAATTCTTTAACTTTGAATTTGATTTTACCTGCTTGCTTTAATCGCGGGATAAAGTCATAATAATTGTCGCTACACACGTTCAAATAAATCGTAGAAATAGCCAAATCTTAAAATTTACTTCAGCCTTAAATGCAAATTATTAGAATTAAAATGGTCACTGAGCTGAAATCGATAAAACCTTTACTTTTTTTATAACTAAGGGATAATATTTCCGCAAATTAAATAGCCTATACTTTCTGTAGGAACATAAGAACATAACCAAAATTTCATCTGGATTAAAGAAAAATAGCAGGAGTTAAATGAAATCCACGTACAGGTAAACGAAGGCTTTTATATTATTAACGTATTTAAATTGTAATGTATGTTTTCAGACAGAAAAATTTCATAATTTATTTGCGTTACAGCAGTATTCTAGTGTAGCCTTATAGAATAAACAGTAACGGATATTTTGTTGGATGTTGCAGAATTTAAATTTACAAAAATTACATAAAATTATCAAATCAGATTTTACTTAATACATTTATATTATTCAATATATTAAAAAGTCGCGGCGAGTACGAATATTTTTTATCATTTTCTAATAATATTTTCTTATTCCTCGATATTTTATGCAAATAGAGCGCTGCATAAAAGAATTCGACAGAACAAAAAAGTATTGTTACAGAAAAACGAAACTCGATTACAGTGCTCATTCGACACTTTTAAAGGTAAATTAATTCTAGATTATACTCAAATATACATTTGTTTATTTGTTATAAAGCCATCCTAACTTTTTTTTTCAAGGTAAATTATGGCTTGCACGTGGAAAATAAGTGAATGTAAGATGTTTGTTATAATTTTATTGCATGGTTACTTGTGGGGAATGTTTGGTGGACTGGCAACTTCTCTGGCACGTAGCCCACCGGTTTATGAAAATGGGAAAACTAGTTTTGACAGTCGACTAAGAATATCGTTCTGTGCTCTTCACGGACTTCTTGCTATAGCGTTCACTAGCTGGTTTATTCTAGGGGAGTTTCATCGATCATCTAACGACAATGAAACTAGCAAAGAGAAGCAAGAGACTTCTCCACTGATCCCTGAACATGAAACTTCTTCCGTAGGTATACCATATAGACTCGGACATTCCAGGGAAATCGTGCCAAATGTGCATTATACTACATCTCAATCCACTGAAAGTAGGAATGCTGTTTCTTTCGAAGTAAGGGATGATCCATCTGAAACTGTCTTTTCAACATCTGAGAAGAGTTACGATTTCGTTGGACTAAATAAATGTCTGTTAAATAATTTCTTAAGTGAAACGGATCTTTACGCTGACGACGACGATGATGATTTCGTACTTGGTTCTTTATCCTTAGATAACTACAGTGACGATTAGCGTCGTGTGAAAATCGTCCAAGGTTTTACTTTGAATGTGAATTAATTTAAATATGACAAAATTAGACTTTTTTTGGTCTGTGCTTTTAAAAGCAATATTTTAACAAAGTTCATTTTTTAAAATATGTATTTACCAGTATTTAAAACTATTCTTCCTCGTTCTTTCTTATTCAGAATGTGTTTATATTTCGGTGAACAAAGATCTTATAAATGCTTATTTGAAGTGTATAAATATTTTTTGTATTCTGAAATTCGTTTTAAATTTTAATAAAATCGATTTTTAAATACCTGAATTATTATTACTTTTGCAAATTATTGTCTAGAGGTTTTCCCTTTTTTCCAATTGAAAGAAACTTTTTAGTTTTGTTAACTATAACTTTTAAATACAATATATTTGAATGAATTAAAATTTAAATCGGAAGTACTGCCAATGGACCAAGTTTACTTTTATTAAGTAAAAGTAAATGAAACATATAACAAGAAATTAATAGAGTATTTGACAAAATTTCTGAAAATGAAATGTATACAGATACACTGCGATGTTGACAGTGAAAGAAAATAACAAATTCGAACTGGAAATGTTAATAAGATGTAAAGAGAAAATCCTCTCTCTGTGAAGAATAAATCGGTTTTTACTCAGAGAAAATTCAATTACATCAATTCTCAATGATAGATAGATGAATTATGTTAATTTCTCCTCCTCTATATAATTTCATAATCAGTTCAGCTTGGTTTATAATGGGGTAGCAGTAAGATGAAGAGAGGTTCAACACATCTCAGCAGACTACCCTGAAATATTCTTAGGGTTGTACGTTCAGATTCGATTCCAGGTCCCCAGAGCTTTAGTCTCTCGGCCCATCAAAGATATACCAATTAATACAAGATGTATTTAAAGAAAATATTTCAATTTTAGTTAAATCAGAAGAGGAAAAATCATAACTTGCTTATTATTATTATTAGCACGAAATTTATTTAATTTTATTTTTTAGCCTTACAGGTACTGTAAAAGCAATGCCGTATTGAGCAGATTAGAGTTGTTTTTCATAAAAGAGCTTTTTGACTCGAAAATTGTTAAAACTAATAATTTAAATTCAATAGTATAGATAGTACAGACNATTTTTATAGTACAGTAGAGCGTCGTTTATCCGAATCAATTGGGGAGTGAGGTTGTTCGGATAACTTATTTTTCGGATAACCGATCGTGTACGAAAAAATATCCCATGTTGAAATTTTTCTCCGTTGCGTGTAAATCAGAAGAGGAAAAATCATAACTTGCTTATTATTATTATTAGCACGAAATTTATTTAATTTTATTTTTTATTAAATTTTTTTTTCAATTAAATACCAAATATCTCCAGCGTTTAAGATTAAATGGAATACAACAAAAAATAGTCCATATAAAAGCGGTTGTATTGAATGAATAAGACAACGCAATTTGCCAAGCAGTATAATAACTTCTGGTAGAATTCTCTATGGGGGAAACTGCTACCTATTTATGTGTGATACACGTGAATAAAATCCAGAAAACACCGAGGTTAATCAGTTCGGCGCGATTTACACTGGGCACGAAACGTAACCTCGCGACGCGGGTTAAAAACTTTCATGTCTTTCGCTCCATTCACGTCCAGTGTAAATCTTCCTTTAGTCAGTTGCGAACTCGGCATATTTAACAATGAAATCCATATTGAAAGAAATCGGAAGAAACACAATCATACTAAACAAACCTTTAAACTTTGAATTAGATTTCATCTGATTACTTCAATCGCGAGATAAAGTCGGAATGGAAGATAGATTGGAGCTATACACGTACAAATACGCCTTATTAATATCAAAATTTACTTCAGCATGTGAGTCCTACAGTTGTAAATGTAAATTCTTAAAATTAAAAATATAAAGGAGATTTTTAAAAAGGCAAATTTTTGATCATTTATAATAATATTTTCTTATTCCTCGACATTATATGCAAATAGAGCGCTACATAAAAGAATTCGACAGAACAAAATAAGTATTGTTACAGAAGAACGAAACTCGATTACAGTGCTCATTCGGCATCTCTAAAGGTGAATTAATTCTAGATTATATCCCAATATACATTTGTTTATTTGTTATAAACCCATCCTAACTTTTTTTAGGTAAATTATGTCTTGTACGTGGAAAATATGTGAATTTATTAAGATGCTTGTTGCAATTTTATTGTATGGTTACTTGTGGGGAATGTTTGGTGGATTGACAGTTTCTCTGACACCGGTTTATGAAGATGGGAAAACTACTTTTGACAGTCGACTAAGAATATTGTTTTGTGCTCTTCACGGAGTTCTTGCTATAGCGTTTACTGCTTGCTTTATTCTGCACGAGTTTCAGCAATCATCTAACAACAATGAAACTAGCAACGAGAATCAAGAGACTTCTCCACTGATCCCTAAAGATGAAACTTCTTTGGTAGATAGACCATTTATACTCGGACAGTCCAGGGAAAACGTATACAATAAATTTTATACAAAATCTCAATCCACTGCAAATAGGAATGCTGTTTCTTTCGACTTAACGGATGATTTATTTGAAACTGTGTCCCCTGAGAAGAGTTGCGATTCCGTTGGACAAAATATAAGTCTGTTAGATTTTTGGGGAAATGAAACAGGTCTTTACACGGATGATGAAGACGATTTCAAATTTGGTTTTTTATCTTTCAAAGAATAACAGCGATGATTGACGTTGTGTGAAAATCATCGACGATTTTATATGAATGTTAATCAATTTAATTTGACGAAATGAGACCGTTTTGGCCATTCTTTTCTTTAAAAAAATTATTTTAATCTACAAATACATTTGACCTATTTATTCTTTTAAACAATAAATTTATCTAAAATTGTTTCCCGTTCTTCTTTAGAGCGTGTTTATATGTTTTTGTAAACAACGATTTTAATTATAATTGATTATTGTTTAAAGTTTTGAAATATTTCTGTATTCGACGTTAATTTTCGCACAAGTCTAATTAAAAGGATTACTTTTTAGGGAAATATTCTTTGATTCTGACCTAAATGTAAGGGGAAATTAGTGTTTTTAAAATTAACAACACACAAAAATCGTGTCAAACTGAAGGAATAAGTAGTTTTCAGATATTAAAAAAATCTTTTCCTCAGTAATAAAATAGTTTATTCCATGGCAACATTTTTACTTTCCCGGCTGTTATGTATACGTAACAAGGAAAAATACGGGAGTCGTGTGAAATTTGACCCCTCCGAGTTTTTTGCAAATCTCCACGTTTTCAGACCTCCCGAATTCAAAAGAGTAAAGAAAAAAATCCGTGGAATGTATATATGTAGGCGTCTATTTCGCTTAGTATCTCACGAATGGAGTAAAGATTAAGATAGCAAATTTAGTATGTTGGCTTGTATATGAGGGGCATTGATGTTATTAAATATTGGTGGTGAAACGTCGAGAGAGTGAGGAGATATACGACTAATATATCTAACACTTATATTTACCCCTTTCGAGATGCTCGTTATTACTATTTACACTAATAAAATCTTCATTCTTTTATAAAACTCACCCCTACCCCAAAATAAAGCTTTTTGCCATTTTTATAGTACAGTAGAGCGTCGTTTATCCGAATCAATTGGGGAGTGAGGTTGTTCGGATAACTTATTTTTCGGATAACCGATCGTGTACGAAAAAATATCCCATGTTGAAATTTTTCTCCGTTGCGTGTCGCTTCGCGTTGAATTTTCGTCGATGTTAAGCCTAATGTAAACTTTTTAAAATAATAATCGTGGCTATTGTATCGTTAAAAATTATTTCTTTATTTTTTACAAACAAAAAAAATTATACTTTAGAAGTTAATCTAGTATCAAAAACGTTCGATTGGAATTCTTTCGGATAAACGACGCTCTACTGTAATTAAAAAAAAATAAGTTTTTATAACTAAATCTGATAAAATTTGTGTATGGCGCAGTCTGTTATTGTTTGCTTAGTAATTTGAGTTTTTATTTTTTAAAAAAAGTTCTATAATAACCAGGAAAGTTACGCAATTCTCCTTTCTAGAGATTTTCTTTTACACGTAAAATACCCATGCCAATTTAGTGATTTTCATTCGAAAAGATTTTTTGTTAAAAAAAAAATTTATTTCAAGTCCTTCTACAAAAGGATTTTTAAAAAAAATGTATAAACAATAAAAACACTCTGCTAAGAACTTAAGACATATCTAAAAGTTTGTTTTAAAATTTTCGTTCTGTTCTAAAAGCAGATTACGTTTTCCAATTTAGTCAATTTAAGTTTATTCCATTATCTTCTCGTCTAATATTCAATCCTCCGTTCAACATTTCAAACATTTCGTGTAATGGAATGTGTTGGTTTGCTCCATGTTGAAGTAGAGGTTGAGGAAATTGTCTACGATGATTTGTTCTACAAATACTTATACAGAGTGCAATCACTAGACATTGAACTCCCGAAACAAGTATCGAAATCACCAACAGTATTCCAGGAATATTCCATAAGAAGTATAATAAAGTTATCAAAATAACTATAGTTATAGGGCAATAAATAACTGCATAATAACATTTAGAATTGCACATCTTCGCATATCGAAGGAACCTTTGCAAACATGTCTCTTGATTCTCTCTCCGGTCTTGTTCCATTAGCAAAATCTGTAGTAACGCAATACTTAACGTATTAAAAAATTTTATAATCTAAAGAGGATAATTTAAGGATAACTTACTTATTTTCTATTACTGTTTTCTTCCTTTAAAACGTCCTGCGAAGACGGCCTACTGCATGCTTTTTAACATCGTGAATCATTTGCATATTGCCACATTAGATGGTTTTCTGAATTAAATCGTTACATCAAAATTTTAAAAAATTATCATTAAACATAATAAGTTTTTACTGAAACTGCCGTAAAAATATATGGAAATTTTAAAGTTCAAATACGTAGTTAAAGTTCAAATTCAACCTCCTGTGTTCCNGCAATTTTACGCCGCGATATACGAATCCGCATTATATGAACCCGCGTTATAGCTGAGTCGACTGTATAAGTATTTGCCATTTTGCAATAATAAAAAATAAAAAAAGCTTTTTCAAATAAAATATATTAATAGATGGCGCCATACACGCAGTTCCAAAGGTTGCCTGGAATGTTAAGCAGCTCGTTGTTGAATGTTTTTTTTTTATTTTTGAAGTTCTCTATTTTAGTAAAAATTTCTGTAAAATTGAACCAAGACAGGTGATATTTCTCTTTTTTTTCCATTTCGATTTTGATTTTTCAATTTGTTTTTTGTTAGAAGTTGCGTGTCACGAATGAACCACGAGAAAAAAATGGTTAAGACTTATTCACTTATAAACAAATTTATTCATTTTCATTAATTACTATACACAATTACAAAACAATTATTATGAAGCTTTGACATTAGTAATTATCGAATCAAAATAAATTCATAATATGTGAACAAAATGATTAAATTAAACAGGATTTATAGTGTATAAGCAGGGCCGGTTCTGATAAGGGTGCAGTGCATGAACACAGGTGGTCAAATTCTTAGAGCGTCCAACACTGCATGTTACAAAATAATATGCAAATATAATTTATTGTTTTATATAGTGATAAGCTTTGAAATATATTGATATTTGCATGACGAATGATAATATAGCTATGAAAATTATGCTTATAAATAACGCCGAGGCATGAATGCATGATGTTTTGCATCAGACAACTTCAAAGTGCATTCAACGGGTGATAAGAGATTACAGTAATACCCCGAACTTACGCGATAGGTGGGACCGAGCGATAACCGCGTAAGTCGCGTAAGTTGTGGTATAATTTCCCATATAAATACATACAAATAATTCTTAATTGGGGGCGGAGACTAAAGAAAACAATAATTTAAAAAACAATTTTTAATAAAATCTTAGATAATACATATGTATAGAAAATTATATTATTATACAGTTTTTCACATTTACTTGATTATCACACTATAATTTTAACATTGTTTCCATCTCTGAGATAATACCATGACGTTTACGAATGATGCTTGAATTTAAAGATTGCGCATTTTTTACAGCTTCGAGAATTTTTTTTTACCTTTTATAATTGTTCTGACCGTCGATTCCAGTAGATCAAACTTTTTTGCCAATTCACAAATTTTCATTTTTGTATCGAAATCTATAATAATGTTAACTTTACATTCCAAATATAAAGTTTTTCTTTTCTTGTTTGATGCAGAATAATCAGTTTTATTTCGTTTAGACGACATAGTAGAGTCTCTCGAGTCNTGCCATTATTAAATAAAATTTACAAAAATTAACATTTATTTATATACAAAGAACAGATTTAAAACAATCTACCTTTAGTTTCTGTACTAAACTCAAATCGCAATCAGCAAATCTTCTCATATCTTGAAAGGATGTTTGATTCTGAAAAAGAAAAACAAATCGAAACATTTGATTAAATCCATAAATTAACTTATTATCATTTTAAGAAAACTCTTACTTTTGATGTAAAATCAGCCGTCAGGAATCCAAATAAGATACATACAATAGTTGTTACAGCACAAATTATTAAAATAAAGAGTTTCAATGCGAATTTCACTTTCGTGAAGATGGCAATAAAATAAAGTAGACACGTTTCTGATAATAAAGAAGCATAAACAATTGTTAATACATAATTGAATGGTCCGTTGAGTTGATTGGTGTATGACCAAATTTCATGGTGCTGTGCCATTAGTTCTTCCAATTCCAATTTAAAATTTGCACTATCTTTTGTCATTATGTATAGTTCATCGGATACGTTCTGGAATGCCATCGTTAAAGTAACAATAATCAAGATAATAAAGAAACCGAGGTATATTAACCCTCCACTCATTTCAGTCATCCATATTCCAACTTCAACGCTGCAAAGAAATGCTTCCAGCTTGAATAATTCTCTTTTCTTCAAATTGTGATAGAAGAAAAATACATTTAAGAACTGAAGCCATAATGTAATAATTATTGTTATAATCATTGTGGCACTTTCTGTGTACTTAATGAGAGAAAACAGCTGCTTTTGGCAAAAGTAGTTGGAATTTCTTACTTTAATTTTTGTATTTAATTTTACTCTTTTGACGATGCCGAATGTTACGGCAAACGCTAAGGCAAGGATACAGACGCCCACTTTAACAAAGGTGTCGTTGTCGACAATCGAGTACAGATTGTCGTTGTCGACAATCGAGGATATACAGGGCGTTTTACTTGACAGGAAAGGAACTATCATGCAAAAAGTAAGAAAAAAATGCATCCAGTACATAAATTCGATCAAAGATAAGTAAAATCTCTTTAAAAGTTAGTGCAAATAATTGTGGTTCTGTATGACAGATAGACAGGGATTGAAGAAATTCCATCCGTATACCATTGACATCACGGAAATTTGTGACAGAAAACATTTTAGACATATTTCCTGTTGAAAACTTACAATATTTGAGCTAATGCTCGATGAAGTGCATATCATGCCTTTCGGGATAATTGCAATATTCTTCGATTTAGCTTTGTATTTAATATGAAAAATTAATAGTAATTCAAACACAAATTATTATTGTATTTATTTTCAGACACTTGGCAATTTTTATCATCAAATTTTTTATTTAGTTGATAAGTGTTGATATTATTTACACACGTTTCGGGCATTTATTGTCCCTCTTCAGCCAACTTTTTAATTTACAGGTTATCAAGATATTAAAACCCCAAATTTCCATCTCCTATGTTTACTTGTTGTTATGGAATTACAAAAGCTTCCTGGCCCTTAACACGCTTTATTCTAAGAAACATGCGGTTTTATATTATCTAAAATATTTTA